TTTTCGCACGCGTGTACACGCATGTCCGTGACGCAGAACGTCGTCGTCGCAAGTAGCGCGAGCAAAACGGTGGTGCGCGCGCGCGAAAACAATTCTCCCTATATTTGGTAAATAAGTGCGTAAGGGATTTATATTCCCCTTGTCCCCTTATAATTTCTCGGCGCAGGAGGGGGAGGTGACGTCCGCGTGTGGAACTCGATCTCGTTGATAGATCTCTGCGCGCGAATTAATCGCGACTCGGAGGCATCGTCTCGAATTGTTAAAAAGAAAGAATCGTCCCGTTGACCCAACCGACGTTTCTTTTGCCACTTACTAAAAGAAATCACCCGGGGAATGGAGAGCAATAATCGAGTCACTGAGAATTAAATGATATAGAGATGTATACTTGACTTTCAAACCACGTAGCTTTAAAGACTACAATAATCTATGACAAAGTCCTTAGATTTTTGAAAGGACAATGTTACGATCGGCTATAAATTTGTCCTTTGCCATTATTACTTGCTGGAAGTTGACTGATCGTTTACGGAGATTATTCTATCGCCGTCAGACATGCGAGAAAAAAATGAGGGACGTTATAAAAAAAAGTTTTATGAACAAATTTATATTTACATTTTTTGATGAAAATTTATATTTATTTATAGAACTTTATATTTATAACCTCCACGAACCTTGATTGAAACGATCGCATTTATTGTACATAAATTTATGAAAAAGTACGATAAATGTATTTTATAGAGGCGCAAATATAGAAAACGCATCCGCGTTTCCTCTGACCGTCTGGCGCCGGACTCGCGCCGTTCCTTAATCTTAATCTTGACGAATATATTAAATGACAAGAGACTCGGGATCTCGTGTCCGGCGGTGGATAAATGTCAGAGATGCGGACGGGGTTTCCGAAAATTAAATCGACAATATTACTGCAACGAGACGAAGAGATCCGACTTTTCTTATACGCGTGTCCCCCTCCCCCTCTTGCAACCCCCTGTTTTTCGTGTCCAATTATTCTCGTCCGTAAATTTACACTTTGTACCGAGCATCGTTTCTCGAAACTCTGGTCTGCTTTAATGGGACAATGACGTCGATACGTTATCGCGAGAAAAAAAAAGAAAGAAAGAAGAAAAGATAATGTGTGTATGTGTGTGTGTGTGTGCGTGCGTGCGTGCGTGCGTATGTGATACCAGCACGAGTCGTTTCTCCCGAAAGCGTGGGTGCGATAAGCTATACGAATATAAACGAGACGCGGGAACAAAATTGAAGACGCGTGTTTACATTTGTAAGAGAACTGCTCGCTTTCTGGAGGCGAACGGCTCGTCTGCGCGCGATCGCGTTCATGCTGTACTCGCGAAAAATGCAAAGAATCGAGGTTGTTTGTCAACGACAATCCAGGACGTGCGATCTCGCGGAGCAGCATTGTTAACGGTTACGATTGTTATAATTATGATCGCACGAGTTGACGAGGGTGTCGCAAGAGAGACTTGCGCGAGACGTGGTTTCTTCCTTTCATTTTTCGTCGATACAACATGCGTGCCTGCAGATTGTAAGGGGATTGCAGACAACGGTGTTGGCTCCGTTGCCGAGAATGCGTGCGAGAGAAAGAGAGATAGTTAAAGAACTGCGAATCTAATAGGAGAGGTTAATAATAGTTGTAAGAATATCGAGTCGCGATCTCTGTGATGAAGATAACAACGTTGACGACAATGACGACGATTTTTCCTCCCTCCGTGTCCCTCTGGCAATTACTGGTCACGGGCACGACGAGATGCAATTAACCACGTCGAGGTTTCTAGAGTACATAAGACATAGATGATAACGACCGTAATCTATTATGTAGTATCGTAACAGAAAAACAAAAAGCTAATACTTAAGGTTCTGACTGGAGCGTTAATAGGCATTATATATTATATATATATATGTCACGATTAAGAATTTAACTGTTTACAAGGAAAGGAGGGAGCGCGTCGGTCGACGATGATGAAGATAGTAATATAGACGACGAGATACATTTAAATAATTGTAAATAAGCAAATGAAAACGCGTAGGGATGGGGGGGGGGGAGGGCGGATGCCCTCGAAAACGGACAGAGAGGGAGAGAGAGTTATTTTGCTACGCGAGAAGAAGGGGAAGACTTCCGGGGAGCTCGGTGTGCGCGGTTCATATTGGCGACCCGTTCGAGCGACTCGTCGGATCTGAAGATTGAATCGCGAGACTGGAGGAGAGAAAACGGACGGGAAGGTGGTGGAGAGGAAGAACTCGTCGTTACGCGCAGAAACGGGATCTGTCGGTCGTCCGTTCCATCCGAGGACGATCCGACGTCACGGCTTCGCATCCCCGACAATTTTTCCGAGAAGGTCGCTTCACTTTGGTGGAGAGGGACAAGAGTCGCGAGAATCGTTGCTTTCGACGAAGAACGGAAAATTATCCTCGAGAGGAGTGTCTCGGGCAGTTACCTGCAGGACGAGAGTGACTTAGCCGAGGAAGAAAGCTGAGCGACCTCTCATTCGTTTCTGAGACAGGACGATCCAAGGAGAGAAAGGGAGTACGTCGATGTCGCGGCGGTGATCGCGCGAGAGACGAGGAGGGGGAGGAGGAGGAAGAAGGGAGGGACTACGTGGATGATCAGCGACGGTCACCTTTTGACGCGCATCCCGTTGTTTTCACCGTGAAACAATCGTCTCGTGCTTGCGCGTCCGACGAGAAGATTCCGAAGGAGAGCAGTCGGCGAAAAAGAGGGAGAGGGAGAGAGAGAGAGAGAGAGAAGAAAGAAGATGCGGAAGATCGGGGAGGTGGACGGCTAACTCAGCGCGAAGGATCGCAGCACTTTTTCTTCGTCTTCGCGTCCGCGGAGAAGAGAGGTCCGATCGAGAAAGGGTCGAGGGATCAAGACGCGGATAATCGAGGGCGATCAAAGATCCAAGGACGAAGTCCACGACGCTCGGGGGAGACAATGTAATGAACAAGATAAAGTTTGGAGGCTTCCCAGAAGCTATTCGCTTAAACACGCTCGGCATTTATTGTCGAGAGACGGAGGAGGAAAAGAAAGAAAATAAGAGTCATGCCTAAGGGCGTTAGGGCGTAACTGTTTGTATCGTAACTTTGCTTTGCACATTTATAACGCCGATGAGTTTCTCGAGGAACGAAGCTGTCAAGCAAAACGAGAGAGGTTCGAGGAGAGACGCAGCGGTACGGAAAAGAAGGAGCGAGAGAGGAAGAAGACTAAGGGAACGCAAGTTTCTCGGGTGCGAGTGGTCATCAAGATACGGAGCGAAGAGTGGAGCAGCAAGTATATATGAAAAAAGCTCTCCGCTCGTCAGCAGAGCAGTGTCTTGAGTTCTGAGTGACTGGAGCTTGGGTCTCAGGATTTCCAAGAAGAAAAAGAAACGGACCAGAAAATGTCTTTTTGAATACAAAAGGCGCCAAAAAAATTACAAGTGTACAGATGAAACCAATGCGAGAGAAAGAGAGCGTGCGTGAACGTGTATGAAAGGAGAGACCGTCGAGGAGAAGAGATAACGTGAGAGAAAGGGAGAGGGAGAGGAAGAAAGAGCTTGACGAAAGAGCAGATGCGGGAAACAAAAAACCGAGGAGTCGAAAGATTTGGCGTGCAATAATGTGCTCGGTAAATCGATTCCGGTTGAAGCTGGTGAACCAGGAGAACGGAAAGCAGGAGGGGTTTCGGTCCCTCGATCAAGTCGCGGGGGGGGAAACCCGAGTGGAGTCTTTACGCAAGAGAAGAAGAGCCGGGGGAACTTTACCGGAACTTTCCGTCCCCGTGACTTCCAGAGTATATTTCAGCGCAGCGCAATTATACAGCCACTTACGCGGGGACGGAGTTCGTGTATTTCGTGATGTCTATGCGAGTCGCTCTCCGCACGGGAGAGACGCGCATATTCATATCATTGTTGATCGAAGGAAGAAAGAGAGAAAAAGGGCAAGAGCAAGAAAAACGAAGATGCAGGGAGAGGTGATCGGAGGAAGAGCTCGGATGACGGAGATAAAACAGAAACAGAAGGAGATAAGTTGCGGACTCGCCTGACGAGTCTCGCGTAAATAGGTGCTGTCGCTTTAAGAGGAAGACACTGAAGAAGAATACTTGAGATTTGTACGTGTTCGAGAGGAGGAACGGAATCGACATCTTTGCCGTTCGCGAAGGAGGAAATCATCAGGATGGAGCAGACGAAATTTTCAATCATTTTATTCCCTATTTCGTTCCCTTCCTTGAAAAAAAAAAGAGACAAAATTTCTTTGAGTCAATTTAATCCTAACACGCGGCCTTTGGCTGCCTTCAACATTGGCAAGATATTTAACGGGAGAAACGCCATTACTTTTGTTTCCTCTATCTTATATATCACATTGCATCCTATTAAATCCTATTAAATCAGATTCTCCCGCATAATCATAGCCATTTCAGGGCCCCTGTCGGGGCCCGCAAATGCATCACGACGCTGGTGCGTCTTCTCGGTTGTCGCAATAAACGTGCGCGCAAGCGTGCGGTGCAAACTGTCCTTATCAGGACAAAGGTTTAACTGCCCTTTTCAGGGCAAGGACATCTGGACCAGCGCCAAGTTGTGCGCGCAAACTGTCCTTGTCAGGACAAATCTTCAACGTACCTGAAATTTAATAAATATATTCCCTATTTAATTGTATCCCCTTTTCAGAATACGCTGCATTGTTTGCGGAGACGCAGAGGTAATATAAAATCGTTTTTACAATACTACCTTTTTTTATAGACTGTACAATGAAATTTTAAGTAAATTGTTCTCAATGGTGAACATGTTGAGATAAATTCTCATTTGGTTAAATTGTTAATATATTTTTATTTTACGCATAACGTATATAACGTATATAAAATGCGTTGAACTTTAATCTTGTTTCAGAGGCACTGTGAACTGGTGAGTATTTTCGATCTCGAAATAACTCTTGGCTTAAACATGTTACCGAGAGTTGCATTGTCATCATCTCTTGTCTTTAGAGGAAAACTGTTTATACATAAAAAAGGAAGGTTCAATGTTCCAATAATTTACTTTAGTAAAAACAGTTACATATGCATGTGCAATACATAAGGCATACGTAGCGATGTGTCAGTCCATTCAGCAAATGGCACGAGCAATTGCGTCAATCAGAGATACGTTCAAAACAAGTGACGTGGAAATTTCCATATTTCGACATTCGCACGAACATCTCCAATCGCCAGCATATCTCTGTAAAACAAATATTGATCTTTTCAATGTATAATTTTTACTATCTACTGATCTCTTGCATTAAAACTATGAGTCACGTTTCTATATATATTTTAGCAATTGTCTCGAATGGAGGATGATTCCGACTCAATTGTTTGAAAGACTGATCATTGACAGTGTATTTGTAATGCAATTTTGCTATCGCAAATTACAATTACTATTTAAGACATGTGTTTACTACAGATAAGAAATTGTTTCTTTTTACAGAAATAAACGCATGTCGAAAAATCGATCATCGTTTTGCAACTGACGTGCTGCAAATTGGCAAGAAAGAGAATTTTTTGAGCGATGAATCATCCGAATTATCTTACACACACCTCTTGGAATTTATACGTAAGCTGCTGATACTTTCTTTGCCAGTCACCTCGAGTTTCGCGTGTGTCACAGGTTTACCGTCAGTGACGTTGTAGAACTTCACACACACGCCCGCTCCGTATGCCGCGAATACGTCTTGATTACCAATCATCCACGTTAATCCCACGACTGTGTTGTCCACGGAAATGGTTCGCTGGCCGACATGCTACGTAATGTAATTCACAATTACGTAACGAAAAGATAAAATTGACTGATGTGAAATAAAATAAATTTTCGTAAACATTTGGCTACATTCGTTCTCTTTCCCTTTCACATTTGTCAACGAGATATTTTAGAAAGCGTTTTAAAACTTGTATCTTCGATCTTTTGAACAAGCGATTTAGTTGCAGAAGAGCGAACAAGTCACGTCGTGTCAAGAACGACACGTTCTCGTACGTATATATTATACTGTTTGTATGATGAAGCACGAAAAGAGAGTAGATTTATGCTTCCTTTAAAGATCTGTACATTCGGAGATAGTATTCATAGTGAATAACTGCAAAGTGTATTTTAAACAAGATTCTGCGCAACTTTAGTTTCTAAATTCCCCAATTTTATATTTTATGCTATTTATGTGCCAAAATTATTATGTTAATACACGATGCAATTTATCGTGTGACTGTGCCATTCATTCTTAAGCTCTAAAACTCCAATTATCTACAAGAAAACTCAATTGAAGTAAATAAAGACATCAAGTAATATTTCTTGTTTACGTAGAATTAGGATCGTGATTATTGAAAGGCTGAAGTGTGACATGCGGGGATTTACCTCGTCAAGATTGTATACACGGATTTCCTTATCTGTGGCACTGCTGACAAATAGATTGCGTAAAGGCGAGCACTTAATGCAGGTAACGCTACCTCCGTGTCTTTCATATTCGTCGATCACGGGATCTAAAAGCGTGGTATCTCCTGAAATTGATAACAGTCCCTTACTTTCGATGACAAATTTTATTATTAGAGGAAAGTCCCCTGTTATGAAATAGCGGGTTTTCGACGTCCTGTTTCACAAATCTTTTTTCGCAACAACTACACGATCTAACAATGAATTTCCCAGGCAATTTCAAAGGCAATAAATTTAAAGTGGAACAGATAATGCCTATTAATTAACAGAAACGCCACTGTCTATTAAAAGCATATCGACTGATCTTTTTCGCAAGGTCGCATCTCAATTTTACGCCATAACAGTAACGAGTTACATTTTTCACTCGGTAACGAGTGACGGTAACTAGTTCCTTTTAAAAAGTAACTTTCCTATCCCTGTTATGTACATATACATATAGGCACGAACCTTCGATGGAAGTTACACTGTCCAAGCTACATTTATAGATTCCACCACACAGCGTTCCGACGACAAATATACTGGGATGTTTCGGCGAGAAGTCAAAACTCGTGATGCACAGCCCTGCCTCAGCGGCGCGCTCGCGCGTACCCCCGGCGCTGCGTGGCCTGACGCTTTCCACCGGATTACGTTCCTTAACTATCTTGAATCTGAATGAGAGAGAAATTACGCGTAGGTTTGTGCTTTAATATACCCATGATGCAACTCTCAAGCATTCGCAAAGAAAGTAAGTTTAATAGTTAACAAATGGAGACGGTTAAAGAAAAGAAACGTTCTATGATGATAAACAGTGGTGTATTATCTTCGGGCGGGTAGGCGCTCTAAAGACGTGCCGCTTTTCCATAAGTTCTCGAAGGGAAAAAGAACAGGCTGGACAAAGAAGAAATTACATCACGGCCCACGACAACACCCCCGACAGCACCGCTTCCGACTGCTCTGCACCCAAATCAAAGGTTTGCAATATTCAATACGATAACACGCGTAATACAACCAGTGGAGTCTACTCAAGGTAAGTAAAATTTTGTATTTATTATACGTTACGGAGAAAACTAAACAACTTTTGTAAAATATATATCAACAGACTAGACAATTATCCTAATCAAGTAGGTTACTTCAAGAAAGCCATGACAAAAGAAGACTAAAGAGATTCAAACCACTGGATAACCAAAAGAGATTCAAATAAACTAAATTGATATATCGACTAAGGGGCCCAGGAAGTACAACCAAGCTTATGTAAATTAAAGTTGACATGAGAGTGTAAACTAAAAGGTGTTTTCTAGTGAGCACACTTAATATAAAATTTACTTATTATCAAAATTTGAGACGGATTGTAAATAAATCTGAGAGTTAATAAAAAAAAATTATACTTCACTATTCTCCCATTAACCTGTAGAGGGTCGGCATTTTTCCATTGAAATTGGTAATTTTTTAAACAGAAAATTTATGCATACATGTAATCTTCATGTTCCGCAAAGTTTTCAAGTTAGCTCCTGGCTACTATAGTGGCAACTCCGGCCCTCTAAAGGTTAATAGTCAGCCGGCCGGCAGCACGTTAAGCACGTACCGCTTGTACGACTCGACGGTCGTGAAGTTGGCCGTTACTTTGTGAATCAGTATGTATCCGTCCGTGCTGGAGCTCAGCAACAGGGTCACGTCGTTGACGGATCTCGGCCGCCAGCACACCTGAGACACGCAGTCGCCGTGAGTGCACACGTGCATCGGCACGACGGAGTCGTCGTTCCTGAGATTCCAGATCAACACGTCCCCTTGAGGAATCACACAATCGATGCACTTGTCAGGTATACCGGGACGTGAGACTTGATTAATATCAGGCTTGGGAAGTAACTCGTTACTTGTAACGAAGTTACAGTTCCAGTTACTTTCTTTTTAGTAACTCTAACTTAACTTCGTTACTTTCTCTCCATCTGTAACTGTAACTTAACTCAGTTACACTTTTTCGATAACTAGTAACTAATTTAATAGTTACATTAATAGTTGCTTCATATATTTTTTAAACCTCTACAGATCGCATTAGGTCTTGCATTTGCAAATAAACGCTTGTATCGATACTTGTACAATTCAAGCGCAGATTTAATAATTTTATTTTCATTGCAAGAAAGTAACTGCACAGTAACGATTCGTTGTTTTTTTTAGTAACTGTAACTGTAACGCGTTACTTTTCAGAATTGGTAACTTGTAACTGTAACTAGTTAATTAAAGAGATTCACAATTGGACAATCCGGCCGCGAGGATGGAGGGCTGTGTCGGGTGGTAGCACAGCGTTGTAACGCATCCGCTCGTCTCCAACGTTCTGGTGGGCGCGTCCGCGACATTGTCCTCGGTCGTGAGATTGTACAACTGGATCGCGGAAAGGTGATCGCACCATGCCTCGTGATAGGTGTGACTGAGGCCTACCGCTAATGTTCCGCCGACGGTGCTCCACGACAGGTCGCTTATCTTGATCTGCAAAACAAACTCGACTGGTGACAGCGGTTTAATCTTGTGTACGACGGTTAGTTGGCTTTACCGAAAGAGACGTACCTGCGCGTCCGTCTCTCTCGACGTACTTATCCTCTTCAATAACTCCACTGTGGCGGACGAAGCCTCGGTCACATTCGGGTTGTAGTCGTCGAACGCGCTGCTGGCGTAAGCTTCGTCGAGGGCCTCCAGGATCCCTGGCGTGACCTTCTTCAGAAACTCCGCCAGCCTGTCGTAATCTACCTGCGCATCCGTTTTCTGTCCGCTCACCGTCTGGCTCTGGAATTGTTAAAAAAAAAATCACGTGGCTAAAGTGACGAAGGAAACGATGAAGGCAAATCGTTTCGGCAGCGTTGACTTTGGACGCTTGTCAGAATTAAATGCAGGATATACGAGAATTGCGGTGTTTATCGACGCGTTGCGATTTACACATTTCTTCGAGGGTAAATGAAGTCTAGCGAAGACTCCGGGACTCAAGTAGAATCTCAACAACGCACCCCGACACTCCTCGTCTCCGCGGTCTGCGTGTCGTCAGCGGCGTAGACTATCTCCGTCGTTTGGACGTTCGCGGACGTCTCCAACCTAGGGAACGATCGCGTTATCAGTCGGACAGAACGAAGGGCTGTTTGCGTATACTTTGCAGCGACAATTCGAATGATAATAAGCGAGCTCACCTCGCAGCGGACAATTCCGAGTCGAAGCTCACAACGTCGAAGGTCTTGGTGCTAAACATTTTCCCCGATAGAACAAACCTCGCCGTCAATGTCCCCCTTTTTGTTATTTACGTTTAATTTTAAGAAAAGCCAGATTTACGCTCTCGGCGTACGATATTCTTCTTCTTCGTCAAGTTCGGAGATCAATCGGACGCCCGATATTCGGGTGACACCTGCCACCGACGCTACCGCGCTACCAGTGCGGTATATTTACGAAGTGAAACAGCTGATGAGCTGCTCTCGCCAGTCTCGCCATCTACAGCCAAAACATGGGTAA